CATTAAATCTTCCCAAACGTCAGGATGCCCTGTCATTGAAATCTAAATTTTCTAGGAGGGGCGTGTCACATTACTGGACGAGTTTTCGGCTTAGATTAGAGGGAGTGGGATTCCGAATTCTCACCATCTTATATTATACTCAACCAAAAATCCAATTAATGAGACTACAATTCAAGAACTTCAATTGTATTAGTCTTTAAAATTTTCAAAGAAAGGCTAAGAACTACTTTTCTCAGTTCCGGTCATACTGACTAAGCAAAAATTTGGACAGGCCAGAATCTTGTTCGCTGCGGACGCTTTGGCGTTTCAGGGGCTGGGTTTGGCGCGGCGTCAACCAGTTTTCCACCAATTGAAGTCGCATGCCCTTCCATTATTGGTGAAAAAAGGGGTGTCACCTCGCCGAAGCCAGCCCCGTCTCCCCTGACACGCCCCATCACCCACGGCGAACAAGCCTCAGAAATGTGCACCGGATTTTTGACCACATTATATCCGTTTCAAACCAGAGCGTTATATGATAGAAGGAGTGATGGCAACTGACAAATTTATTAGTCTGTGCGAGGCCATAATTCCTATTCTGATTACGAAAGTCATCCAGGAAGGGGCGTGTCACACTAGCGGACGAGTTTTTCGTGAAATTTTTTTCTTTCAGGTCACATTCACTAAACGGAAATTCGGGTTAATGAAGAAGGCGTACGAGTTATCTGTGCTATGCGATTGTGAGATCGCACTTATAGTGTTCAATTCGACAAATAAACTATTTCAGTGAGTAATTTTTATTTTTGACTTTATACTTCTTTGCCTATTATCGATTTTGTCGCTGATTTTACGGGCGATTTTTGTCGCTCGTATAAAGCAACTTGTGCTGTACTTTTCCTTGAAGTTTCAAAATTTCTGAGAAAAAATGGGTCCTAACCCTGTTGAGTAAGTATTGTCATGGGCTATGCAGCTGGCCGTAAAATATGGCCAGCAATTTTGCTGAAGCGCTCAATTGACCGTACTCTTCCATTGCCCTGCCTTCTTGCCGAGCGCGTTGGAAATTCTCCGCCAGGAGATGGGGTGGTCGTTTTGAAAAAAGTTGCCCACATCGCCGTGTCTGCCCTCCCGGCTTTGCAAACCTCTTTATGTGGTGCTATCCCCTGAACAAGGGACAAATCTAGCCCTGGGCTATGTGCCAGGCGCATCTTCATAATTCTGATTTCCGCTCAGCGTCGCCCATATGAGCTCCGATTTCGACATAACATCTTCATAATCGGCACATGCTCTCCTATTTCACGACTCATTGCCGGTCGATGTTGTTTCCTGTGTGTTTATGGGGGTAGCTAGCTCCTCCCATTTCCGTAGTCCGGAAACCGAAGAAGCCGTTTTAGTGTGCGTATAAGTCTGACGTGTAATGGAGGCCATGACTACATACACACATAGATTTAGCCGTTCGAGGGTTTCTTTGACGTAAATTTGACGATCAGCAGGGTTTCTCAACGGTCTTTTTGAGGCTATATATGTCCCAGGGTTGGCCATATTTTATTGACAAATAGTTGCTTTCAAAGCTGCGAATGCAATAAAAGG